TCTCTTTTTCAGTTCTTCTGGAATTTGGAAGTCCTACACTTTCAAAAAAAACCCAATACTCCCGGAGTATTGAGCGTTTCAATTATAAGGAGTATTGAGCGTTTCAGCTGGTCATTGTCAACTTCCTTTTTCAAGAACAAGAAGAACAAGTGACGCTTGTGATCCGATACTTTCTGGCAATCGTTGCCAAACTCTTAATAAATCTGAAGGTAGACAGGATTCAACTAAAGGAAATAACATAGCCGCGTATTTATCCGACTTAATACCGGGTGTTTCCAGAACCCTCAACTGAGTCTCTAATTTGTCGTATAACAAGGATAGATCTAATTTATTGCCAGACGCAGTATTATTTATTACTAATTTAAGTAATTCCCGTACATAAACTTCGATCTGCAAGTCATCCCGACCGAAACGCGAAATAAGACAGTCAATCATAGCATCATAATTACTTCCAGTGGCGGGAAAACTATCCACTAGTTGCCTAGCTCTACTACCCGATATAGTAGCTTGAATCAAATATTCGACCTTGTCGTTCGGATCTATGTCAGGATCATGATGAACTTTTTGAAATTGTGACCAAAAAGGCAACCAGTTTTTAATATTCCCGTCGAATTTTTTGAACTCTAATGTAGGTAATTTAAATTTTCGCTTACCGCGTCTGCTGTCTAAACTACTCCTATCATCAGATATCCTAGAAGCTACCTCACCTTCCACTGCACCTGTCACTATTGACTGCATACGGTCTTCGAACTGCATACTGAGATCCAAAAACTTCTTGCTATAGTTGTCACTACACTCAATTTCTGCTAAAAGGTCTTCTTCACTAGCGTCTTCACTTAGTAATAGACCGTAGATTTCTTCATCACTTTTCCTTAGGTCTTCAATTTTTTGGCGTAATAGATCCAAGGAAACTTTAATTGATCGTATCTCACCCTCCGGCGCCGACAAAAGCTTATCCATTTCATTCGCCGTCCTCGTGAAGGTGCTACGGAGCACTTTGCGATGTTTCTTCTTTTGATCCATTTTTCTCTGCAAACTTGGTCAAAACCACACACGTTTACCGAAAGTTACAGGCGAAACGCGATAAAGTTTGTCCGGTGATCGTCCATTCAATTTTTGTTACACCTCTTATACAACCACGATTAATTTTATGGAAACAGTCCTGTCACGGTCGCCAAATATGTCAAATGTGTACCAACGCAATTCTACCCGAATTTGCGTATAAAATACACGGTTCGTATATTACAAAATTAAACTTCAAAATTATTGAAAATCTATATTTGCCAGTTCCCAACAAAACATATCGCGTGCTTTTAAAAAATGATGTAACAAAATTATCACTTATAAGCATCAATCTATACATACACAAAATTAAAAAATACTACGCCACGGATACATCGACCGTTCAGCCCTCAGAGTCTTAGTCAACTGTAAGAACCTCATCAATTTTTATTACACCACTTACGCGTTAAAATAAACAAAATAAATCGAAGTGATGGCGATAAAATATAAAAATTATTGCCGACAAGTGGAAAGATTGTTATGATTTAAAAAGGTTTTATAGCTAAAGCTTTCTTTGAATTTTAATAAGAGATTTTGTAACTTCAGCATTCAATATAATAATATATGTGCATACAAACAAAATAATTATCAAATGGCTGTGACAATAACAGTGATGCGGATAGCGTTGATGATATTCAATCGAATCACGACAGTGGCACAGCTGATGATGAAAATATACCTACCGTTCAACCTGTGCATACACCTGTGCATACATAGTTACTTGGGGAACATGTGGAAATATTTCTCACAATATTAAATTTTCCGGTCAGTGTGGAACGGAAACAAACGGAACTGATCTGTCTTCTCCCTACAAAATATACCGCCAATTTATAGATGATAATATTCTTGATACAATAGTGAACGAGACAAATAGATATGCGTCGCAATAGATACAAAACCATGAACTCTCTCGCAGGTCTTTTATACGTCAGTGGAGAGAAACAGAACGGGATGAACTTCGAAAGTTGTTATGTAGGAGCATAAAACATGATCGGTTCAATCTGCTTATGAAGTTCATTCATTTTTCCGATAATGTTGGTGGTTCCCAAAATAGTGATAGACTACAAAAAATCAGAAATGTATTGGACATGATTATCAATAATTTCCAGAAAACTCTAAAACCAGGTAAAGAGGTTGTAATTGATGAGTCCATGGTGCCCTGGAGAGGCAGACTTGTCTTCCGGTAATATTTGCCTGCCAAAGCACACAAATACGGGATCAAAATTTATAAGTTATGCACAACTGACGGTTACACTTACAACCTGAATATATATTGTAGCAAAAATGAGATGAATAATAGTAGGCATGGTTACACTTTTGATGTAAGTAAGACTCATGGAAGGTCTGCTAAACGAAGGCCGAATTTTATATGCCGATAACTTTTATAATAGCGTTACTTTATCGGAGTACCTTCTACGACAAAATATCTATACCTGTGGTACATTACGAGCAAATCGTAAAGGAAATCCAAAAGATGTTCTAAAAAAACCAAAAAATTCGAAATATTTGGACAAGAAAATAGCAACGGAGTACGAGTTTTTAAATGGCAAGATGAAAGATCGTTCCTCATGATAAGCAGTGTACCTCAGCATATGGACGAATTAGTCTCGACTGGGTCAAAGGACAGGATGGGCGAAAACAAACTGAAGACAAACTCGGTAATAGATAATAACAAAGCCAAAAAGGGTGTTGATATTTCGGACCAGATATATATATATATATATATATATATATATATATATATATATATATATATATATATATATATATACACGTATACGTATGAACTTTACACATTGCAAAAAGTGACAATAACAATAATAAATAAGTAAGTAAATAAGTAAACACTGACACAGAACATATAAAATTAAAATTATTAAATTCGGACCAGATGCCTTGCTATTATACTTGTCTTCGGAAGTCCATCAAGTGGTATAAGAAGGCTATGTTCGAAGTTATTCTTGGAACCTGTGTGGTAAACTCCTGGGTAATTTACAACAGAAATAACAAAAAAAGATAGACATGCTAAAATTTAGGGAAGAAATAATAGATAAACTTCTAGACTGCGAAGACAATGAAACAGAAGCAGTCAGGATGTAGATGATCAAAGAAAGGGCAAGAAAAAAATAACTCATAAACTGAAGAGTGTCGAGGGAAACTTTACAAAAAAATCCAAAAGATGCACTGTCTGCTTTGATAAGATTCAACGAGAAAAGGGGACTAAAGAAGCCAGACTTAAAACTAAACAAATAATTACTTATTGTGACAGCTGTCCAGATGCACAGCCAATGTGTTTGGATTGTTTTAACCAAAAACACGCATAATTCGCTGACAGTGTCTTTACCTTTGAAAATCATTTTAGTTATGATGTTTTAGCTGATTTTATGTTGAATTTTGAAGCTAGTTTTAAGAATAATAATAATAATATTTTTATTTGTTTTTTTACGACATACATTGATTGCACAGATTAAATTTCAAAAAAATTGTAGTTTGCGTTGCATCCCCCAAATTTGTAACAATCACGAAACGAACGTAGGGTCGTTTATACACAACCTTTAGGTACAGCTGTAGGCCATTATCTATTTCCTTCACACAACCGTTGAGTTTGTAGACACATACATCGATTGCATAGATTAAATTAAAAAAAAATGTAGTTTGCGCTGCACCCCCCAAATTTGTAACAATCTCGAAACGAACGTAGGGTCATTTATGCACAACTTTTAGGTACAGCCGTAGACCACTATCTATTTCCTTCACACAGCCGTTGAGTTTGTATGACACAATAGTCAGTTGAGTCTGTTGGCGATGGCCGGCATGTACCGTATACGATACACTTCGTCGCGAACGTATTAAACAATTTTTATGGATTGGACATATTTAGAAATTAACGTTATATTCCTAATATAAAAACTAAAGAGCAAATAGTTATTTTAAAAAAATTTATATTCAATCTATTATTATTAAATATTTACGCATACTATTTAAAAAAATTAACTTAATCCAACTTTTAATAATTCATTTATAAAAGTAATGGCAACCTATTGATATAAAATAGTTACATGTTTGCCCGGAGCTATTTACCGAGAATGAGGTCTGAATCAATTACATAACAACATTCGGACTTAATTAGATTCTCTCTGTAGCAATAAGTATGTTAATGTTTGTTTGGAATTTCTCATAGTCCAGCAGAATTAGCTTTAATTTTTAAATTATAATTTTTATTTTTCGGAATGAAATGCCTGTATTTTGTAAAAAAAATATAATGAAATCATGAAATTGTCCACAGATTTTTCTCGCCATCAGCAATAAATCTTACCCTATCTCCGATAGTTCCAGGAAGCCTCTCATTCGATTTTATTCTCCACAATCTCTTTATATTGTTGATGCCTAAAACAATTCTTGCTGTAGTCCCTAATATATTGACTGAATATGTACGGAGTAAATTTAATGTAAGCGCTATTGAACCCTTGATGTCATCTTGTATGTTATATCTTAAGCATGGAGCCCAGGTAATTGAAACAGCCCTAGAGGTCATAGAATATAGCAGAAGAACCAATGCTGATATATTGAGCAAAGGTAGGCAAACATGGGATCCTTAAGCTTACAATTCATTCATAACTCTTATCAAAAGAAACCTTGGGAAGACACCTAACACTTTACTAGAAGCATTGTTGTCCTGGTATGAAATGTACGAAAAAACAGAGCTCAATGTGGTCGTCAAAAAAGTTAATATAAAAACAAGAAACAAATACATCCCTAGACTCAATCTGAGAGTTAAACATGGATCCAAAACTAGTATATTAAAAATTGAAAAGATAGTGGGAAAAGAGAGATGTAACAAATTTCTAAATGACTACTCCCGCAGTTTTTGCAGCTACATCAAACACGGGGAAAGGAACAAATTAAACAGAAGAGCAATAGCATCAGGTTCAATAGTAATGAGAATGCATTTGAAAATTATGGAAGAGTTCCATCTCAAACTTGCAAAGAAAATACCAGGATCTACAATCTCCATAAGTGGAGAAGAAAAAAAAAAGAGGAAAATTGCAACTGAACTTTCACATGCTGCAACAGAATCATTAGCACAAGAAATCATGAAAGTTGGATTGAAAGTGGAAGAAAATACTGGTATAAATACATGAAAGATACCATTCTTAATTCACTCTTTATAACATACAAGACAACATGGCTGATATTGAACAAATGGTAAGTTTTTTTTTCTTATATTTATGTTTTAATAAATTATTTTTTATTATTATTAATATTTGAGGTTTTACAATTGATAAGAATTGATGCAAGTACCTATATTCCTACAAGAGCCACACCTTATTCTGTGGGTTTGGATGTTAAAACTCCTAGCAGTTTTACTATTCAACCACAGTCTAGACTTTTAGTTGACATATTATTAAAAATTGAATTCTCCCAAGGGGTCTATTGTAGAATTGTCCCTAGGCCAGGATTGGCTCTTAATAAAGAGATTTATGTTTTGGCTGGAGTGATAGATCCTGATTACAGAGGAACAGTTAAAGTTTTTTTATATAATACCTCAAGTGAAGAAGTTTATTTTAGTCGAGGTGACAAAATTGCACAGCTTATTTTTGAAAAATGTACAATTCCCAAAATTGAAGAAGTAAATGCTCTTAGTTACACTGAGAGAGGACACAGGAGTTTTGGTTCCTCAAATCTTAATTCATCATTAAAAAACTAAATTTTTTAAGTATTTGAGTTCAATAATAATAACCAAAACAAATAATATATATATATATATATATATATATATATATATATATATAATATATATATATATATATATATATATATTTCACAAATTTTGATATTTTTTTTTTTTCACAGAAAACCGTTCCAGAAAGAAGCCCACAGGAGGAGGAAAATGGGGACAACGACGACGATTATCCAACGTATAAACCAAATTTAAATCGAAACATTATTTTAACTATTCCGGTGTCCAAAAATAAAAAGTAAAAAAAAAGATTTCGACAAAATGAAGTAAAACGACACCAAGAAATAAATAATAATAATAATAAATAAAAAATTGTTTATTTATTAATGTGTTTTATTTTAATAGGTTAATTCAATAAGACGGTATTCAGTGTTGAATGAGCTGTTAAAGAGTGCCCAGTTTCAATTAGCAATTAAAAATGTGTTTATTAAAAACAAATTATATTATTTTGGTTGCAATAGTCAACAGCATATTGTACACTAACATACCATATAGCGTCCATTATGTAGCAGTTTGTTTTGATATGAACAATACAAAACAAGAGTGTAATCGTACATCCTGGAAAATGTTAAGTACTTCCCAAGAAAATAATGGACATCTCTCAGTATTTCAAACAGATATTCCAAAAACAAATTTAACTTTTTTTAATTATAAGTTCAAAATAATATTTTCCGATAATTCTGAAAGTCATCAAAATGCATGACAGTTTTCTTTTAGCCTTCCACTACAAGTGTCATTAACGGGCAAGAGGAATTTTCTAAATTATATTCATTGACTTGTATAGTTTTGACTGTAATTATTATTGTATCTATTTTGATATTTGCAAATACGATAAATAAGGTTTCTAGAAATTAAGGTTATTAGAAAGTAGAAACGATATGAATTGGGAAAGAACAATTTTTGGGTCCGGTCAGTAATTCTACGGCGAACATAGAAATAAAGATAAATCTTTGTAATTCTGTAATTATTGATTACTCCTGGTATTAGTATTGGCGTGGCTTATTACTTTTTAACGTATCTTATTGGGTAATACTGAAATGTAATTGGTCAAATTTTTCGGAAGTGCATACACTGAAACCAAATCTGGCTTTGCCATTATCTGGCAAAAATTGCTTCTCATGTTTCAAAGGCGGCAAGCATATAATAAACACAATAACAATGTCGTCGTGATAAACTTATAATTATTTTATTTTTAGAATAATTCAGAAATATAAACATTATTTGTAATTGATCACTAACGGTATTGTCCACATTGCAGCTGTGGCTTATTACTTTCTACGTCGGGCACTAATGAAGTGTAGTTAGTCAAATTCTTTGGAAGTTATTACGCTCAAACTTTATCGTTATCTGGTGAAAAATGCCTTCTCAGGTTTCTCGTACTAAACGATATATTCAGTATCGTCGTGTACGACAGCAAGTTCACGTATATTTTTAATATTTTTGTGCAAACAGTAGTGTTGTGTTTTAGTTAAGTTTGAGTTAAGACAGTAGAAATAAGTTTTAAATACATTAAATATGGCTTTTTGGCGACCATGTGAATGTTATACCAACGAGAATACTAGCGACAATCCAACGGGCGATTTAGGTATGTAAATTCTTATTTAAAACAAGTTTAATAATTAGTTGTATAGGGAGGCTCGGTCATAATATTCACCCTTAATCTACTTTTTTTTTTTAATTAAAAGTAAAAATATTTCTTTTAGATCCAACACCAATGAATTGGGAATTTGTAAATAAGGACTTACATATTCAAGCGCAAAGGATTATTCTAAATATATATTCCTGTTTAAGAGGCGAAAATAGTACACTTTCGGAAAATAATACTGTGTTAAGGATATGTGAACTTACCAAACTTGCGCGTATGACAGTTTTACGTATTATTGCAGCTGGGGATGTAAGTGATCATTATGTTAAACGTCAAAGAGTTGGACAAAACCTTAAAAAAATTGATAAGGCCACTAAAGACGTTATTTTTCGCTATGTCTAGGAATTTTACTGTCCTGAAATGCTTCAGGACAAGTTGAAAATATATCCCGATTATGCATATAAATCGCTTGATACATTGAGGCGTGTTTTAATAGAATGCGGATTTAGTTATAAAAAATTAGACAAGAGAATGGTAATTATGGAATCTACAAAGATTGTGATACAGAGGCAACATTATTTACGTAAAATAAAGGAATATCGAGATGACAATAGAGACATTGTGTATCTTGATGAAACGTGGTTTGACACCCATGATGTAGTTCAATATGGCTGGATGGATGATAGCAAATCTGCTGCTTGAGTACTCCTTGTTCGAGAGGAAAAAGAATTATAATTCTACATGCTGGAACTAAGAGCAGGGTGGTACCTAATGCTTGTTATTATTAGCCAAAAACATTAACCCCTTCGGTCATCGTGTCCACACCGATGGACATCGATTTTCAATGCATTTTCTTAAAACATCGATGGTTATTATCGCCCAAATCATTTTGTTCATGTGTGGGTACATGCATAAGAAAAGCATTGAATACATTGATAGCCATCTGTTAGTAGATCTGTGAAGCTATATAAAACGCAGAACAGGTTGCATTTAGCACGCTGTCGTGGTGGTGAAAACACCTGTTTGTTATTGGAACGATTTCTATTGAATAAACTTGTTTTTTCGTACAAATACCTGCTGATTTGGGTAAGTAAAGAGTATTAGTATAGTGTGTTTATATTATGTATCAAACTGTTGACTGAAAATATCTTATAAAGTGGTGTATATTTATATGTCCATGTAGATAGACAAAATGACTTAGGTATACTTATGCATAAAAAAATTAGCAAGGTCGTGTTGTTTTAGATATCCATAAAATGGAAAGTTTACCGTCAACTAGTAAAGAAAAGAGATGGTCACGACCCTTGACTGAGGATGAACTTCTGGATTTACTCATGAAAGACGATGACTCAGAAATATTACGTGTGTCAGATGTTGATGACGCCAACAGTATTGCGGATCTAAATGACGTTTCCTCAGAAATTGGCGATGATATCCAAGATATCGAGGAAACTATTTTTGACGGATTGATCCAAGAACAGAAGTCAACAGAAAGAGGTGAGTTAGAAAATCTAGAATATCCCAATGAAGTGACTACAGAACAACCAATGTCTGAGGACATGAAAACCAAAGAAAATTCCAACCAAACCACTGAAAAACAAACAACTGCAAAGGAGAGACTGCTAGAGTTTTGTAAAGAGTTCAAACTCACAAATAAGAAAGATGTTTGTTGAAAAAAAAAATATTACCTATCTTACCAGGCCAGTACAGTGGTTTGTTCCAGAAGAAGTACAAGTTGATGAATTACCTGCTCCTATTGAATATTTTATGAAATACATACCTGATGTTCTGTTTGAGAAGATTTCAGAAATGACTAACTTATATACCGTACAAAAAAATATTACTCGGTTTTCTCCATCAGATAAAGAAGAAATAAAGCGATTTGTAGGCATTCACATTATAATGGGAAATCTAAAATTCCCAAGAGCAAGACTGTATTAGTCCCAGCTTACAGGTATTTCAATTGTAAAAGATAATATGACATTCAATCGCTTCTCTAAGTTGCGCAATACCATTCACTTAGTAGATGTAACAGCAAGAGGTGACGAAACAGATCGCATGTGGAACGTCCGAGAAATATATAATTCCATTAGAAATCGTTGTAGAGAACTTCAAACCGAAACAAATTTGTGCATTGACGAGCAAATTGTTCCATTCAAGGGACAGATCAATGTCAAGCAGTACCTCCCAAATAAACCGAAAAAATGGGGGATCAAATTATGGATATTGGCTGGACAATCTGGTACCATTTACGATTTCATCATATATCAAGGTGCTGAAACGGAAATAAAAGAAAATTATGCACAGTTTGGACAAGGAGCTGGAACTGTGATGCAGCTAGTTGAGAGAATTGAAGAAACTCATCACGGTTTGTACTTTGATAATTTCTTTAGTTCTTATCACCTCTTTCAATGGTTGAACAATAAATCTATTATGGCTGTCGGAACAATTAGAATAAACCGATTTTTTGGACCAGAACTAACATCTGATAAAGATCTAAAAAAAATGGTAGAGGTAGTTTTGATGTAGCGGTTAGTGAAGATGGAATTGTGATTACAAAATGGTTCGACAATAAACCAGTTTTAGTGGCTTCAAATTTTGTTGAAGCGGGAAAAATGGATTTGTGCTAGAGATGGGATAAGACGTCGAAAGAGTATATAAATGTATCTAGACCGGAAGCCATATCGCTTTACAATTCCAACATGGGTGGTGATGATAAGTTAGATTTTTTATTGAGCGTTTACAGATCCTACAGACGATCCAGAAAATGGACTGTACGTATGATAACACATGCTATAGATATGGCGATAGTAAAT